ATTCGAATTATCTAAATTCGGATTAATCCTGTAGTGTAGACATACCCTCAGAAGGTTCGGGTTGTGGGGCTGTTTCACTGATGCGTAGACTTCTGGGCTCGGGCTGGTCGCCCGAGCTCTGGGGTCCTCCCACTCTGCAGGGTCCTAGAGCCTGGGCCCCAAACAGAGCCCAGAAGTCTACACAGAATGAAACAGCCCCACAGATTGAGCCCCACGAGCTGGAGTCAACTAGCACGGGCCAGCTGCAAGTGTCTAGTTGTTGTGTAGACATACCCAGAGTTTCTGCCTCCTCCCCCTACTGGTGATGGCCCCTGCCCCGTGCGGGCAGTAGAGGGCAAAGCGGAGCCACTGGGTGGTGGGCAAGGAGAGGCCAGCCTCGAGAGGCAGCAGCTCCCAGGGTGGCTGGAGGGCTCACAACCATTCCTGCTCTCAGCCGCCGCACGATCCCACACAATCCAGGGCTGTCAGACCCCCTGGAGTATTAGCTACACAGCCCCCCCCCCCCGGACCGGGACTTGGCAGTGCTTCTCTGTTTCCATCTGGACAACTCCATGCTAATAGTGGGCTGCAGTGCCTATTGCAGCTGCACAGGGCCTCAGGGAAAAAAGGGTTGGGAACCCCTGTAATAAAGCACTCCTTTTCAGCTTAGTCATAGTGCAAACACCTGAAATGCCATAATGTTCATGTTAGGTTATGCTTGTGCATTTAGTGCTCACAAAAGGTACTGGCTTAACAACCCTGCTGACTGAAACCTTCTGCCCACAGAACAGCTATGGTGTGGAAAGCAGCAGAGCAAACTTCCCCCTTCCCCCGCGCTGCCCAACCAATGTCCTTCAACCTTTGCCTCAGAGGGACCATCTCAAAATGCAAGAGGATTTCTTGAGCAGTCTCCAGGCTCATTCAAACTGCCAACAAGAGTCACCTGGTTGAAAGGTGAAAACTATGGGGTGAGTTGTGCAGATCTCAAATTATACACTCTGCCCAAGTTCCTTACAGCTGCAGGAACCAGAATGACTCCTGGGTGGAACCAGCAATGTCCCATTATCAGAGGATCACAGGCTACAGTGGGTTATTTTGTTCTTTTCATCATTGTTTCAAAGCTAAGGGCTGCCTAAGGCAGTAAAATGCTGTAGGAAAGAGTGAGAAGGTCAAAAGGATTCATTTAGTAGGGGAATGAAGCACCTGGAAGTAAAGCAAGGGCCACAGAGTGGGAAATTGATACATGGTACAAACCTAATCAAACTTATTAACCACTGAGAGTGAACTGCAGACAGTAGCAGGTGTGTCTTTGAAACTGATTTTTATCAAAGGGGTTTGCTGTCTTTAGCCATTTAAATGTATTGCTAGAAAACAACCATAATCATCCCACTTAGCCTTTATTAGTGGGATAGTTAAAATGGATTCTGTTGCCCTGCTCAGGTTTTAAAAGAAGCAGAGTAGAATTTTTCCTTCCCTTTGTATGTAATAGTAGGTAGGAGCTATTCAAAAGGGTTTCTATGAGGGCTGTTATGAAATGAGACTTAAACAGGACATTGTCAAGATTAGGATGGTTAGATCCCTTTCCTTCTGGTTTGATTTTATCTGCTTGCAAATTCAATATTCTTAATGGGTGATTTAGATATAACTAATGTTTTTAATCTTGTCTCTTTACAAAAGAGTGTATTGCCAATATTTGACAACATAGGGCAATCATGGCATGAAGATGGAAAGATTTGTTTGTAGCTTCTAAAAACTTCTTGTTAAAACAATAGGAAAATGCAGGATCCTGTCTCTTGAGTAAACATCTTGAAATCAAGTATAGATTCAAGAGCTGTATTTGTATTACTTTTCATCAAAACCATGGTAGCTTTAGGTTCTTTCTGAAATATTCTGCTAAAAGGTTGCATATCAGCTAGTGTAAAAAATATGAATTATCTTAATCAGTCTTAGAAAAATAACTTTTTGGAGTGTGTTTCAAACTGGTTTAGTCAAGGGGAGTAAAAGTGCCCCCAAGATGTCTTAAGTGATGTCTTGGTTGTCACGGCTATGTAGCACTCTGTAACATTTTGGGCTTAAAATGTGGTGTTGCTTTTAAGGCTAAAGGATTGTTTATATGTATGCAGTAAATTCCGAACCATTTAATGGTAGCAGAAAATAATGCTTCAGTAGCTTATTATTTCCCCACTAAAATATCTGCTGCTATAGCAAAAATGGAATAGTTTGTCTTCTGAATGTGTCACTTCTTGGTAATAAGATCTATTTCAATATGCTGTAAAGCAGCTTTTGGGTGTCACTAAATTGAAGTGTGTAAAGCTAGCTAGTGGCAGCCCTGTACAAGACATACATTTAATAGGATTCCTGCCTCTTACATTTGGATAAAGTCGCTCAACATTATATAGCTGTTGTAACTCTTAAGACAACACTCTATTTTTGACTATTTAAAATGACTAACAAGTAAAGAATGACTTTCAATGGGAGTTGACACCAAAGCTGTTCAGGCTCCCTTGAAAATCTTGCATTTTGAGATGGTCCCTCTGAGGCAAGGGTTGAGGCAGATTGGTTGGGCAGCACAGGGGAAGTTTGCTTTGCTGCTTTCCACACCGTAGCTGTTCTGTGGGCAGACGGCTTCAGTCTGCAGGGCTGTTAAGCCAGAACTTTTAAGCCTAGATACTTTAGATCATAGGTGCTGGTGCTGGCTTGAAGTGACTTCTACCCTATCTAGGGTTTACGGTTTGGTTCAATGGCTCTCAGCACTCCTACTATACAGATTATTCCTGCACCTCTCTCATCAATGCTGGAAAACTTTACCCTAAACATAACCTTTTATAATAGGTTTACCCTGAACTTTTCAAACAGCTTCAATATTATTAACACCCTGGTTGATTTATGAAACAGCGGATCTGCTTATTTACTTTAAACTTGTCTGAATTGCTATCGCTTACACTAATGATCTTTAATTCTCGGAGGCAAATGGAATTTTGCAATCAATAAGAGAAGCCTGCTGGTGTTGTGCAAGGATACCATTATGGGTTCTGAGAAGGCATTGGAAGGGAGTCTGGGTATGTGTAGGCTTCAAGCTGAGGATATGATTCCCAGCTCAAGCAAACATACTAGCACTAGCTCGGATTGAGTTAGCATGCTAAAAATAGAATATAGCCATGGCACTGTGTGTGGGGGGGAGGGTTGCTGCTCGGAGTATACACCTAGTATCCTCTCATGGATACATGCTTGTCACAGCTGGCCCCACCTGTCACCATGGCAAGGTGCTATTTTTTTAGCATGCTAGCTTGATCAGCGCTAGCACAGGTATGTCTCCTCAAGCTGGAATTTAAACCTCCATCTTGAAGTACAGACCTACAGCTAGAGAAGAAATAGTAACTGCCCAAAGGAGGGCACATTAGGCTGTGTACGCTAGTCTTCGTTAATACAAGTTTCCTGCTGTTGCTACCATAGTTTCATTGACGTTGACTGGCGTTCTAACAAACAGGGCTCCGGCCACTGCCGGTATTGGTCATCTAACCCTGTTCAGGTCTAAATAGTTTAATGATAAAAACACAGTTGGTGGCTGATGCCTTGTCCGCACTTTTATTTCTACTGGTGCTACCACTGGGGAATTGCTGGGGGTGGTGGGGAGAGATGCTAGGGTAGACAAGACCATAGTGGCATAGGTGAATTTTCCTATGAAGAGAAGCTGGGAAGATTGGGACTGCTTAGTTTGGAGAAGAGAGAATACCAATAAATAGACTAGTGAATGATACAAAGAAGTCCAATCTGATGCTCAGATTGGAGCCACGTTTTTAGCCCATGCAAAGCCCAGTGTCCCCTTATTTGGTTAGACTAGGAATGAAAAGGACAAGTCTTAACTTTCACTTTCTCAACAAAGAAGTGTGTGTATTGGGGTGGGGGTGGTTTTGTTTGTAAACAATCTGTTTCTCTTGACAATAACATTGAAAACAAATCAATATAAAGATCTACAAACTGATCACTAGAATTTTTTTTAAAAAATAGCTGTGCTTGTTTCCTTTGTGCAGGAGAAGATTAGGAGGGAAGGATCTCCGGTTCCCCCAAACATAACTTTTATGTAAAATGAGTCCCTTTAAATGTGGAGTCCTTTCAAAGAAGCATCTTGCCAACCTCTTCAAAAGCTTTAAGCTAGCTCAGTGCACAGTAATGTAGCAATTGTGGTGGTGTCTCTGAGTGGGCGGTTTGTTTGGTTGGCCCAGTAAAATGCTAATCCTGGGCCCCTCTTTCATTTCACGTGGTACCAGAACAAGGTGGCTTTGAACACTGGCAAACTTAAAACTAAGTGTTGTTTTGTGAAAACACCCCATTTAAAATTCATGGAACTTGGTGTTGCAGGCTGATATTAAGAACTTGTTATAAATACCAGTTCAAGAAGTCAAAAGACTAGTACAACTGCAGTTGTTTTGCCTGGAATTGTTGGACATGCTACTGGATGAAAGCAGAAGTTCATAATGTCTAGAGAGTATAAAAGGTAGTTTATGTAAATTCCTGGATAACTGTTCTTCCTTTTAGTCCTTTGGCCTTGTGCTTATATGGAAAGCGCAAATGTGCCCTAATATGTAAATAAAACAACTCTAACAAAAGATCAAAACTTTAATAAGACTTCAATTTGTGGAAATAAAAACCTAGAAAAATGCTACTTTATTTTTAAAACCATAAAGTTAGTCAAACTTCTTTAAATCTTGATTTTAAAAAAGGGGATGAATTTCTTTTCCTTTTTCCCCTCTAACCAGCTTGAGTTCTTTAATTATTTTCAAGTTAGATGAATTAAGACTTGCAAGAAAATACTCAAATGTTATCCAAGAGTTTTCAGACCACCACTATCTCCTGTTTTGTATAGACTGCCTATTAGATACAGACTGCTGCAAAGAATGTTTAATCAATATTTCTGACTTTTGTGTTCACTCTTTCTCGTTCAGATACTTTTCAAACAGAAGTCAATGATGTCTTCTGAAAATGTAACTAACAAACGTCATCATAACCCAGTGGACAGCATTTGCAGAAAAATCAAGACTATCCAGATGATGGACCAAGTCTCTAATCCTGCTTTACAGATCCCAAAGTTTCAGTCTAGGAACTTTGACAGCCCACAGACTAATATCAAGAAAAACTTAGAGGAGATATTGAAGAAAAGGACCTTTAAAAGTCATGAGGCTACTGGGCCATATTTCCTAAGCCCCAGTAGAGACAATATTTTCTCACCATGTCCGCAGGCCGCAGGCCACAGACGATGCACGTCTGACTTCCACACTGGCAGTGCAACCTATTCAATTGGTAAAAATAAAGAGAAGACCAGAAAGTCATGGCTACCAATGTGCCAAGTTGAGAGTTCTCCACCCCTTCTCAAAAGTGGAGAGGCTAACATCCGTATGGGTCAACTATCTGCAGCTTCCAACGTCGAATGTAACTACCTTACATCAAGTCCAAACTTGCCTTTCTTAACGACAGTCCAAAAGGCAGAATGTTTTGCGTTCCAATCTCCAGTGGTGAAGAGACTATCGTTGAGTGAAAGAGGTAAACAATTCCAATAAACACTTACAGTATTCAGCTTTCTTTTCACCAACCCTAAACATTAGGTTACCTAATGATGGCTGTCTCAAATGATTGAACCTAATTCTTTAAAAAGACCTGAAACACTACACTGAGGGGGGCATTTGGTCTAAGGAAGCCTACCAATCCCTTTTTTCCCTTTATAAAGATCTAGTCTAGAATCTTCTACTTCCATACACTCCATCCATGTATATAAAGTCTATAGCATAGCCATATTTAGTTCCCAAGCCTGCAAATTATAATGCGTGGGAAGACCCTGTTGACTTCAGTGGGTCTCTGCACAAGTGCAAGGGTCTGCCTTGTGTTAGCTGTATGATCAAAGGCCTGTTGTTTAGGTTACAACACCCCTGGGAATGTCATGTAAATTTATGCTGTTGTTAAAAACAAAAATGTAGTTGGAAGTAGGTCCTGGTAACTGAGAATTAGATGTAGTATAATGTATTTATCCCCCATAGGATGGAGACTATCATGGGCGAATAACGCTGACAACACCTATGATGTGAGCTTGATCTGCGAAGAAGACTTGTTGACCACTATCTTCTGTGCATGTGACACAGAACGCAGAGGTGTCTTAACCCCCCCCCCCCCCCCCACCCTGTTTTTTGCTCAGTGAATGTCAAGTGTTAGGTCTTACTAGAATCTCTTCTTAAGAAAATATAATCTGTCTGGTACATATAGAGAGAGGGTGGTCTCCTGGCTAAATCAAAGAACTGGTTGTTTGGGGATCTGGTACTCTCCTGGCCTTCCCACAAAAAACCTAGGATGGCACAGTTAGTCACCTTGTCTCTCTCGCTCTCTCTGTTTCCTATCTGTAAAACAAGGACAATTGCCTACTTGAGGCAAAAAATGTTTGTAAAACACTTTGAGATCCTCTGAAAGGTGTCATAGAAATGCAAATTATAACCATGTCAGTGAAGTGATAGGATTCTTTTCTTAGACGTCTCAGCTTGCCTTCTTGTCATTGTATTTAGAGCTACTTGTACTTTTTTGTACAATGTTTGTGGGAAAATCTTCATTTTGGTTGAAATTTGATATATTTATTTTAATGAGGGGAGGGGGGTAACTTGCCATTTTCCTGCTAGCTCTTGATATAATTGCCTAACAGAATAAAAGACTAACTTTCATCTATGTGCTTTCCTTTTTTAAGGAGGCAGTGTTGGTGTTAGTGGCTTAAAATCCCACCTCGTTATTGTCTAAAGAAATATTGCTGTGGGGGCATGGTTTCACCTCAGAAATCTCCCCCCCCCCCCTTTTTTTTTTTTTTTTTTTTTTTATTTTTTTTCCTTTTTTTTTTTTTTTTTTTTTTCTTTGCAGTAATTCTCCACCCCCCCCCCTCTTTTTTTTTTTTTTAAGCTCTGAAACTCTTAATCCTAAATTTTCTCCTGGCTTCTGCCTCTCCATGTCACACTAGAATTTTTCTAGCCAGTAGCTGGTCTAGAGCATCGCAAGTCACTTAGACATACTACAGCACAGATTCAAGCATGCTATGAATGTATTCCAATCCCCTTATTACAATTTATTGCCTATACAAAATTGTCTTGACTTTTAAAATCTGGTACAAAGACTGATTATATTTTTAAGGAAAAGTAGCCGTTTCCAAGATAGTTGATTATCTGAGACATACAACTAGCCGGGGGTCAGAAGACAGTGGTCTTGAAGAGCTGTGCAACATGCTTGATCCTGATAAAAGGGACATCTCGATAGACCTGGAAACATACCATGCTATCATGAAAGAGTGGATTGAAGACTGTAAAAGAAAATGGTAATAGAAATTTGTCTTCTAATTTCACAAAATGTCTTCTATAAAGACAAGACAGTAAGAATAGCTTGTCCGGTTTGCAGTGTTAATATGCAGGGCGTACGTTAGCATCCAGGAATCGTACAACTGATAGTGACCACAGGGTGGCTTTTCACCACACATCTTCCTACATAGTGTGTTTTTAAAAAAAAAAAAAAAAAAAAGTCAGTAAGGAATTAAAGGTCACACTATATTTTAAGGAGTAGGAATAGATTATCAGGGATGTATATAGCAAGGAACTTGAATGTATTTTAATAGAATGAGTGTCAACTACAGGCTGTGTAGGTAGGCTAGAGTGAATCTATTTTGAGTAACCTCATGGTTTACTTGTTTCAGGGAAGATACTGCTAAGGAGACAACGACAAATACAGAAGATTCTGTGTTTAAATTGCATGAGAGCATTCTAACAGGTGTGGAATATTTCATTCTTACTCGGGAATACCTGACTTTTTTTTTTTTTCTTTTTTCTTAAACTAAAACTGGAAAAATCTCTTTCAGCAAAAAAGACTCCTGCTAGGATAAACATTACATCAGGAAGTTTAGAGGCCTTAGGTGGAGATGTGTCCAAAGGAGACCTGTAAGTTTGTCATGCAATGCTTTTCTTAAACCTAATACAGTCGTTTTCTCTAATAGGCCTAAACTCGCTTCTGAAAAAAATGGATGATGGGATCAAAGTGCATTCCTTTGCACTGTTGCAAGCAGTTGTTCTCAAACTTATTTGATCGTGCCCCCTTCTTTGTCTGCCCCACCAGCAGCCACCACTCTCTGACCACCCAGCTCTGAAAGGAGAGTGGAGACTGCTGGCTCGGTGCCCAGCTCTGAAGGCAGAGCTGTTGCCACCAGCCATGCAGAAGTAAGGGTGGCAATACCATACCATGCTAACATTACTTCTCAGCTGCTGCCGGCAGCAATGCTGCCTTCAGAGCTGAGCACTCAGCCAATAGCCACTACTCTCTGGCCACCCAGCTCTGAATGTGCACAGTAAGGTTTTTTTGGGGGGGGTTCCCCCCTAAAACTTCTCACATGCCCCCCTTCCTGGATACATTCTGTGCCCCCCACTTTGAGAACCTCTGGTTGGTAGAGCCTCTTTGGACTTGCAAAAACCCAGTTACACAGCCCTTGTTAAGAATAAAACCAGTGTTTAAAGTTCTATACAGAACTTGGCTTAACTTATCAACTGCTGTTCATGTGCCTGCTTGTAACGTATGCTAATTCCTCTTATACCATTTGCTATACGGAAATTTTGCTAATTCAGCTTTGGTTTGCTAGTGTTCACTGATAAGAATTAACAGTGGAAATTTTGTTCAAGTTCTTTCAAAGTCTGATGTTAATTCATATAAAAAGTAGTGTGTTTAGGGTCTGATCTCAAAGGGTGCCCACCGCCCAGCCCTTAGTTCTGTTGGTTTTTTAACTAATGTTTGGGTTTCACTGATGAACAGCATCTTGATATTTATAGTGCTCTTAAAAATCATGATTTTGCGTTCAATTCACCATACAAAAAACGTTCAAAATGGTGTACTCCTCTCAGGTTCCAGTTTAGGCATATATCTAGCTTTGAAATTTTCACTTCTATCAATTTTTTAGAAATATAGCTTGTGCTAACCACAGGCTTTCAATGGGGGAGTGGGGGGGATTTTTAAAATTATATACTAGTTGCCAGTAACTTCTTATGAGAAAGTGACTATCAAACACTCACACCTTTTTATCCTGTGAACACTTGCCCATTGAATATGGCCCCATTAATGGGATTATTACATCTGTAAAGTTATTCATAAGTGTTTTTTGTAGGTTCAAGGCCTTGATTTGGGGATGTTGTGGTAGCATCAGAATAGAGCAATTGCCTACCAACTTAAAACTTGCCTGAACACAATTCTTCTATTCACATTTTACCTTGTTGGAAGACTCATACTGAGAAGAACATGAAATTATGATTGTTCTTTATTGAATACAGGGAGACATCTGACTTGATTACCTGTGTAGCAGACCTTCAGTTCAAGAATCAGAAACTTCAAGAGGAGAACTGCAAACTGAAGATGGCAGTTGAAGCATTGGAGGATACCAATAATAGGCTAATGGAGGACAATGAGGATCTAAATAATCAAGTAAAAAGGTGGAACGCTTTCAGCACAAGTTCAGTAATTTTTAACTCCTGCTGTCTGGAAGTGGTGACCAACTTTGCAAAAACTCCCCATGCTGGACCTCATGTTTGTTCTATAAAATTGGAAAAAGTGGTTCCCATTAATCTATCTAATAAGTCACTGAGGAGGAGGAAGAAATGGGGATCCCTTCCTGTTTTTCTTAGTTCAGTATTTGGCTTGACTCTGTCATTAAAGGCTCTGTGATTAAATGTTAGTCCTAGAAGTTTATGCCCACCCTACCATGCTGCCTCAGTCTCAGTGCCTTTGGGGGAAATCCAGGTAGCTTGGCCCAGATCAGCAAAGGGAGATGAGCGTTGTGATGCCAAGCGTCACAACGCCTGACTCTTAGGTGCCTGGGAAACCACTGGAACAGCGAAAACCACAAAGCCTGAGTTAGGTGCCTCGGCTCCCTATACAATGAAGAGGTAGGCACCTAAAGAATGAAATTCACAAAAGCCAGCACATGAGGCAGATAGCTGCCTAAGCTAGCCAATGGGAAAAGCTGGCAAAAGGTGGTGTGTTCTAAGCCCTGCCCTTCTCATGGGGTTAGGAACCGATCTCTGCAATCCAGAACACCCTCTCCTGGATTCAGGCAGCTTAGACTCTTAAGTTTCCCCCCTCCTCCCTCAAGAAAATTAGGTGCCTGCTGAACTCAATACAAAATGGACCTGATGGGCATGGGGGGAGGAGAAGAGAAGGGGGAGGCGGGAAAAGAGAACCTTACTTTAGCTCAGTGGTTCATATACTTAACTGAGATGTGGAAGATCCTAGTTCAGTTCCCCCCTCTGCCTGAAGAAGGGATTTGAACAGGGGTCATCTCGCCTCTTAAGTGAGTGCCTAACCACTGGACTCTAGAGTGATTCTCACTCTCTCTGGCCCAATTAATATTTTAAATTATTTTTGAAGTAGAATAACTTCAATATGACCTACATCAGAATATGACCTACATTATATGCCATAGTCCAATGGCCTGAGAGGTGAGGAACCCCCTGTACAAATCCCTTCTGATTATCAGTGGGGAGAATCTGAACTGGGGTATCCCACCCAAGATGTGGGAATCCTAACTATTGGGCTAAAAGTACCACCCCTCTCAGCCATTCTGGGTACCGTGAAGCAAGTTCCACGCATGCCAAAT